TATGTATGTATGTAAGTATGCAGAATGTATGTGTGCATGTATAAATAAGAAGATATATTAATGTTTGCATGTATGCGTGTGTATGCGCGTAGACATGTATGAATATATGTGAACATGGGGATCAAAGGATAAATGGATGAATGGAAATATAGGATATAGGATTGTATGTATGTGTACGTATGAGTATACATACTTGGGTCAAGCTAGCTCCTCCTAGCAGATAAGACAGACTTGTGGTGCGATTGGGGATTTTGATTGTCTGTACACGCGAAACCGGTCTTATCACTGTGCCGGCAGTCGAGCATTGCATTTCAATGTTTGTATGAAGCAACCTAGCAATCACATACAATTTGAAGGTCTACCCAGGAAGCGGAAGGTTCTCCTTAAATGGGACAAACTTGCCAACTTTCGCCAGGATGCGCAAGTTATACATGAGTCTATAGAACAAGTCTCTTGCACAGTGTATCCACAAAGCTCGTGCTATTCCACGCCAACCTAGTTCCAACAATATCGCAATCATCAAAAGACTTCCATACGAGATAGCCGATCGAGAAACCTCGAAATGTAAGCGTGCCCTCTGTTGCCAGGTCCCCTGCTGTTGAGTCTTGCCAGTCTCTCTGACTTGCAACATGTCTTAGCGTTGTCGTGTATGTCCTGTGCATCTGAAACCTGTCTTCTTAATTGTATCAGGTACTATCAGGTACTACTCAGGCACTATTTCTTTCAGCCAGACTCCCAAAAGTGGTACGAACGAACCGGACTGTGTCGACTAATCTTAACTTCCCGGCTTCAGGCCTGCTCAGGTCAGCTTTGTCCAGGCAAAATCTGGGTGGGAAGCGCGATCCCATCACGATCATATGCTCGACGAGAAATTCACAATTCACCGTCAACAAACGAATGCTCGAAATGGGATTCGTTCGAATACCAACCTCACCTATTCATCGCTCTGTCGCGTTGTTTCGCCATCCCTGCTTTCTGCAGGTCTATGCAATCACAGTGAACGTGTGCACTGCACCAAAGTTATCCAACCTGCGATATGACCTGTTCGCTCTTCCCGACCAATCGTCTGTCGACGAATAGCTTTCCTTGGCTCGCGCCATCCTTCGTCTCCGAGCTCTTCTTGCCAAAACCATTGGAGCCGGTAGATACAAGCTTGTGCATCACAATGTACGCTTGTCATATCCCTATCTATCACAATTGTAACTGGTCCCTTACATCTTAGTTAAGGTGATTTAACCGCATCTTAAAATTATACCAACGATATGTGCAATTCTTCATTAGCTGGCCCAACCTCTTTACGGTTGAACATTTTGTTAAACTAGAAGGCTCAAGTCATATGACCTTACCCTTTTGCGTTTTTTTCCCTCACCCGATTCACCCTCACTCGCTTGATACTTATCTGATCTTCCACGAGACGAATAAACAATTTTCGAATGCAAAAATCTACATTTAATTCAACTCTTCATTTGGCAAATACCGCACCCATATCCTCACTTAAAGGTTGGCTAATGTAGTTGATTTTCTAACTTATGATCCCTTTCTATTTGCACAGATAAAGTTGGTATAATTCTAAGATTCATTTCTGTCTCAAGACGTATGTTTTGGTTGGAAAATGGTAAATGAAGACAACTTTTTATATATAAGGCTCCCCGGGTAGCTTTCCTGACGTTATATTTCCTCCCACATCTTGCTCTTTATCAAATGTCAGAACAACAGCTATTTAAGCAGCACGAGCATTTTCTCCCAGTCTCCATTTCTGGAGCGCCATGGCAACT